GCTCAGATCTCCTTCTGCTCCAAGCTCCATCTTGTTCAGTGCTCCAATCACTCCAAGCTCCATCTTCCTTGGAGCTCTTTCTTGTCTCAGCTCAATCTGCTCAGAGCTTAACCTGCTCTGAGCTTTATCTTGCTCAGAGCTTCATCTGCTCAGAGCTGCAACTGCTCTGAGCTTTGTCTTGCTCAGAGCTCCATCTGCTCCAAGCTCCATCTTGCTCAGTGCTCCAGTCACTCTGAGCTCCGTCTTGCTCTGAGCATCATGTGCTCAGAATGAACCTATATGGATTCATTGGAATTTGGTTCAACTGCATAGGTGAAACAAAAGATAATAGTGGCTTTATTTTTTTCTCACATAAAACATGTCTGAAGGGAGACAATCCTAGGGTGGGAAGGCAAACCCATGGTCATCGTGTCTCGGGCTTTTAGCTTTTTGCTTTGCTATCCTCAGTGCTTGATTTCCATGTTATGGTCTAAAGTGGCTGCTGGAACTCCAGCAATTACAACTGCATTCTGGGAAGAACGGAGGGAGGAAGAAGAGAAGGAAGGAGAAATGAAGGGAGGAAGGGAGAGAGAAAAAAGAATCCTTTTCTTACTTTTTAAAGAAAAGACTTCCTTAAATGATCACTTATAGTAATTTATCTCTATCATTGTCCACAACTTACCTGGCCATACAGGAGACTGGAAAACCCACTATTTCAGTGTAGGTAGCAATGTGCCTCGAATTAGGTTCAGTTACTAACACAGAGGGTTGGGATAGGTAGCTAGCAATTTTTCTTATACTAACATTTTATTATTATTTTTTAAGTGTCAGGATGTGGCTGGTCCCAAAAGCTTACAAGCAAAGTTAATAATTGACATTGGAGGTTTTTTTTGTTGAAGTATCACTGCAATCTTGAATTCAGCATAAAACAAGCAAGTAAGTGTATGAAATAATGATTCCAGCCCCCCAACCTTCCTAGTATTCCCATGAACAATATTCATTGATTCCAAGCTACATGTTTAAAACACACAAAACTGTTCTGAGGCCAAAGAACACCATGTGTAATTTGGTGTGCTGCCACCAAAGGACGAGAGAGCTTGTGCATGGTCATGCACAGTGAACGGCAGGTCCACACACAAGCTGAGCTCTCTGGAGTTGGGTGTATTTGTGTATTTTCCCTCATCCTTCCCAACATCCCCAAGATAAGTTATATATTAAAAAAAAGCACTGAGTTTAAAATATTTCACTACCAAATATTACAGTGAATCTACGACTTTATACTCTTCAAGCATTGCAATTCTTCAAACAGCCAGTAGAGACAGAAAGGTAAAGCTCAAAGGAACTTAGAGATTGTCCAGGCTGGATGCCTCCTTTTCCAGACAAAGAAACTGCGATGGGAAGAGGTAAAATAGCCTGCTCAAGTTCAAGAGAGATACCATCTCTTGACTCTCAGGCTCACTCCATTCTAGCCCCTTTGGGGCAGCAGTTGTGTCTGAGGGACCCCTTGGCATTGGAAAACTCCACAGAACAGCCACCTAAGACTTCAGTGATGGCCAGTGAAGTCTAGAACAGAAACGTGGAATGAGCATTTTTCCCAGCACCCCTGTGATTAAGGAGAGACGCATGGGTTCTTCAGAGCTGTAGGGCAGTTTTGATGCCCCAGGGTCTATTCCAAGTGGCCCAGTAGGGATGCTGGACAGAGTCACCAGGGCAGGTGTGGCCTGGGCTCTGGAGCAGCTCATGGGCAGTGGAAGCACTAGCAGAACGCTACAGGGAATATCAGAGGGATCTGGGGCAGGTGTTTCCTCTTTCTCCACATCACCAGCCTCTTGGTTCTCCATGAGTTAGTTCTACATTTCTCCAGTGGGGAGGTGTATAAGAATACAGACACCTGGACTTTCCTCCCATAAATTCTAGACTAGAAGGTCTGGGTAGGGCCCAGAAAATTGTATTTTTACCACGTAGTCCCTGGAGATGCTGAGGAAGCCAACTTGCTACTATCTGAGGACAAGTGATCAGGAAGCTCTGCACTGGATGACTCACAGAAAGCCCTCCCACCATCCCAGTGCTGCTCTTGTCTAGGAAGACTACTCGGTGAAGAGCTTGTGATCCATCCTCCCTTGCTATAATTAACAGACTGTGTGATTAGAAGTTCTTCCTCAGCCTCAGGCTCCCCTACCTCCCACTGTCAGTGTCTTTTCTTCCCTGGTAATGGGAAGCCAGTCTCCCTGTGCTAACCCTCCACAAACTGGAAGCCTATTAGTAGGTCACCTGTCAGCCACTCTGTCCCAATTAAATAATCCCCATTCCTCTCACCACTTAACCATGCTTCTATTTTCCAACCCAACAATCATTTCTCGGCTTTTCTCTAAATGATCTCCAAGTTCCTCCAGTCCCCCTGTGTTGTCTTTGTTCCTAATTCTTCCCTTGAACAGTTTGTGTCTTGTGAGATTAAAAAGAAATTCCTGCTCCAGAAGGATTCAAAGGCTGTTTTGACAAGATTAATTTAAGCAACCTCCCTGCAGCATCACAGCAATCCAGGGAAGAGGGCAGTTTGCATAAGAAAGTCTAAGGAAGGTAGTACAATAAATACTCCATTGCCTCTCCATGGCAACACACCCCAAAAGTTTTCTGGTTGCCCACACAGGCAGGAAGGTCTGAAGATCCACCTGCTGGTTCACTGGAAAGCCAGGAAGGACGGCTTAGCTTTCCCTCCATTCACGTAGTAGAGATCAGGGCAGGCTGGGACTACCAGATAGACCGAGGAAGTGGGAGAAAACAGAATCAAATGTGGGAACCAGAGAGCAAAGGGAAGTAGTGTAGGAGATGGGTGGGTCATCACTGACCTCTGCTGACAATGGTATCCATTTAAACCATAAGCAGAAATTCACTTTTGAGATTTTTAAGGACGTCAAAAAGCCTTCTCAAGGGGATGATATGAAAAATCAGCCAGGCAAAGTGGAAGAAGAAAGAGTGAGACAAAGAGTAGAACACAAAGTAAGACAAAGTTCAGTGGCTGCTGCAAACCGATTTTCTCCAAAGAACAGAAGGAAAGGGAGAAGACAGCAGAGGGAAGAGAAGGCAGCAGAAAAGGTGGAAATTGAGTGAGAATCTGCCTTCCCAGCCTTGGTTGTCCAGAAAATACAGCACATATACACCATGAAATACTATGCAGCCATAAAAAAGAATGAGTTCATGTCTTTTGCAGGGACATGGATGAAGCTGGAAACCATTATTCTTAGCAAACTAACACAGGAACAGAAAACCAAACACTGCATGTTCTCATTTGTAAGTAAGAGTTGCACAATGAGAACACATGGCCACAGGGAGGGGGACATCTCACACCAAGGCCTGTCAGGGGTAGGGGGAAAGGGAAGGGAGAGCATTAGAATAAATACCTAAAGCATGTGGGGCTTAAAACCTAGATGACAGGTTGACACCTGCAGCAAACCACCATGGCACATGTATACCTGTGTAAAAAACCTGCATGTTCTGCAAATGTACCCCAGAACTTAAAGTAAAATTTAGAAAATATTTTTAAAAAGATCAACCTGGGCAATATGGAAAAACCCTGTCTCTATGACATATATAAAATAATAATAATATAATAATTAACTGGAAGTGGTATCACACACCTGTACTTCTACCTACGTGGGAGGCTAAAGTGGGAGGATCATGTGAGCCCAGGTAGGTCAAGGCTGCAGTGAGCCATGATCATGCCACTGCACCCCAGCCTGGAGAAAAGAGTAAGACCCTGTCTTGAGGAAAAACAAAAGATGGAAGAGGAAGGTAGAAGAGTAAAGAGAGAAATTTGAAGATGGTACACTATTGCCTTTGAAGATGGAAGAGGGGCTATGAGCTAAGGAATGCAGGCAGCCTCTCTAGAAGTTGGACAAAGCAAGGAAACAGATTCTCCCCCAGCATCTCCAAAGGCATGTAGCCCTGACAATATCCTGATTTTATCCTAGTAAGATGCATTTCAAACTCAGACCTCCAGAACTTAAAGATTAAACCTGTATTATATTAAGTGGTGAAGTGAGTGACAATCAGCTACAGCAACCATAGAAAACTAATATAAAAACTGGCACTCAGCCCCACCCCTGAGGCTGCACAGCACCCAGCACCCAGACACCACACTCTGGGCAGTGGCAAGGAAGATGGACCCTAGGCGGTGCACTGGGCAATTCTTGGGCCATCTAGAGCCAGCCTCTGCCTTGGGCTCAGCTGCAGCTGCCACCTGCACACTGCCATGCAGCAGCCACAGTGACAACCACTGATGCTGCCTGCCTGCTTCACCGCAGTGAGGATCCCAGAGCCAGAAGCCTCCACAGCTCCTCATGCAGGCAGTCGGTTCTGCTGCTGCAGGAAAGCAGGAACCGGCCAATCAGCCTCAAGGATCCAGCGGCTGCACAGCATCCAGTGACTGCGACCCATCACTCTGTGCGACGGCCAAGAAAGAGGGGCCCTAGACTGGGAGGGTGGTCCACTAGGTGGACCTCGGGTCTTCTGGGACTAGCCCTGCCATCCAATGTCATGGGCTCCATTGCAACCGCCCCTTGCAGATGGTGCACGTCAGCAGTGGTGGCAACCCTGGACATGCATGCAGTGGCCAGCAGCACAGAACCAGGGGCCAGACACCACTGTGGCCCTAATGGAGGCAGTGAAGCCCCAGCTGCAAGAGTGTGGGAAGTGGCACTCAGCCCCATTCCAGTGGCCACACAGTGTTGTGACCCATGGCCCAGCACTCAGGGAGCTGCCAAAGAGGAGCAGATCCTAGGGTGGGAGGGGGGTATTCAGTAACTCTCAGGCCTCACTCAGGTCTGGGACCTGCGCTGCTGCCCCCTGCTGTGGGCTCAACTGCAGCTGCCACCTGCACATGGTGTGGCAGAAGTGGTGGCAACCCCAGCTCTGCCTGTGATAATCAGCAGTTGGGGACCCAGGGCCTGAGGCTGCCTCAGAGGATGCCACCTGGCCACCTCTGCATCCGTCCCTTCCCTGGTGGCAGCCAGCCACGCTCCTACCTCTCCGGCGCTCAGCAGTCTCTGTCACTGCCACCCATCTCAGTGAGGCGAGCCATGGTGCCACAGGCTCCAGCCTCCATCATGCAGCAGATGGCTCTTCCTTCTCCTGGCATGGAACAGCTGGGCGGGCAAAGCCAAGAAAGCCTAGAACGGGACACAGAGAGTGGTAGTGTTAGACCCCCACCTTGTCATGCTGGCCACTTGGTGCCACATGCCAGTTTCAGTGAAGGCTTTCACACCCACCCTCCAAAGTCCACAGCATCTCTTTTTGGACCAAACTGGCTAGGGAGTGGACACTGGAGACATTGTGGCACCTGGGCTTTCCACTCCACAGGAACCACTGGGACCACCCAGGATGTGCTTGGGAAGCAGGAGCAGCAAAAAATCAGTCCCAGCCATCCCTCTCCACCAATGTGCTGGTTTCCATTCCTGAGACCTCCACCCACAGGGCCCTGTCACCCCATGGTGTCTGCTACTGCATGCCTGGGCATCCTTGGCAGTCTCTGCAACACAGAATGTGAGGGCTCAGGCCTGGGAAGCATGATGGGTCTTGAGTGCCCTGCTGTGATCAGGATCATCAAATAAACATGTGCCTGCCATGCAGGAGGAGATGGCCCTTTAGAGTTTAGAATCCGGGGAGAGGAGAACCACTCCTCTCTCAGAGACCACCGCTATCACTGAAACCTCCATCACCTGCCACTGGTAGTGCAGCTTCTGACAGAGCCCTTAACCCGCTGCCACCAGCAGTGTAGCCCCAGGATAGTGCCAACACCCCATCTCCCACGACTGGCAGCATAGTACATGATGGCAGCCCCTAACCTGCCCCTGCCTTAGACACTGCAGCACTCAATGGCACCCATAAACCAACCCCCTGCCATGGGCATCACATCCCAGGATAGTGCCCCAACTGGCTCCCTTTGGTGGGCAATGTAGCCACAATTAGTGTCCACAACCAGACCTCCACCACAGGCAGTGATGCCTCCATATGGCACCCAAACCACCCCCCACTGTGGTCACTGCAACCCTGAATAGTGAATGCCCTAACCCACTCCCCGTTGGGAACAGTGCAGCCCTGGATAGTGCCCCCCAACCAACTCCCTGCCTTGGGCAGTGCAGCCACGGAGAGCACTCCAAACTCCCTTTCCAGCTTGGGAAGTACCACGATGGATACCTCGGGTAGCCCCTGATAGTGCACAAAACCTGCTCCTGCCACAACCAATGCGGCCTGTAATAGCACACTCACACACTCTTGGCCAGGCAGTGTAGATCCCTGAGAGCACCTGACCCACCCGCCACCTCCCCCGCAACTCAGGCTGTGTATCTGGCCCCAAGAGCGCCCCCACCAACCCTCTACCCCCCTCCACGGGCAGTCCAACCTTGTGCAGCTCTCCTGACAAGCTCCCCAACCTCTGTCTCAGTGTAGTCCCCATAGTGCTTTTAAGATGCCCCTCCCACCACCAGCAGTGTAGCACCCTATAGTCACCCTAACCCAGCCTCCACCACCAGCACTGCAGCCCCAGATAGTGGCCCCAACATGCTCCACCTGTGGGGAATGCAGCCTTGGATAGTGCCCCCTACCAGCTCCCAGACACAGGCAATGATGTCCTGGATATCACACACCCCCACCCATTGGGGGCAATGTAACACCTGATAGTACCCCCAACCCACCCCTCACCACTGGCAGTGTTGCACCCCATAGTGCCACCAACCCATCGCCAACAAGAGCATTGCAGCACCTCATAGCTCCTCTAACTTACCCCCCACCTAAGGCAGTACATCCCTGGATAGTGCCCACAAAATGCCCCACGGCTGCTGGCAGTACCACTTGGGACAGGCCCCATCCCACTCCCGAGCAATGGGCAGCACACCCTAGGAAAGGGCCCCCAACCCTCTCCCCTCCATGGGCAGTGGCACCTCAAATAACCCCCCAAACAGCCCCCACAACACCAGCAGTGACACCTTGGATAGTGCCCACTGCCCACAGCAGAGCACTTCCAAGCCATCCCCCATGCATCAGGATGGCGAACCTACCCCGCCATCTTTTTACTTTTCCAGCTGTGCTTTAGTCTCCATCACCGCTACCAACCGAAACAGTGACGCAACCCTATACTGCAGGCTCCAGTATCCTGGCGGGCAGCTACTCTTCCTTCTCCTCTAAGCCAGCTCAGAGCAGGTGGGCCCACCAACTCAGAATTGAGAGTCTGAAACCGCAAGACTCCTGCTTGCCATATTTTATATATGGCGTTCCTAGAATACATGTTCTGATTGGATGAGAGCAAATTTCAAGGGCTACTCTAATTGGGCTTTATTTGTATGTTCTGATTGGTTAGCCTAAGAGTTGTTCTCATCCAGCCCTAAGCGATTCTGGCCAGGCTGAGCTGCGGCCCCTTTAAGAGGACGTGGTGCTTCCGCTTGAGGCTAGGGACACTGCCAGCGTGTGTGCCCCTGCAAAAGCCTAGACCGCGAGGATCTGGCAGGAGTAGCGGCCTGGGAGTGGAGTCCTTGCCCTTCTGCATCAGCAGGACTAGGTCACCTGCGGAGCCTCTTCCCTGTCTTTTCCTGAAGCGACAGTTGGGTGAAAGGCTGGGGGTGCAGGGGGCTTCGGGGCTGGGTGCCCACTTCAGAGCTCCCCAGCTCTTGGCCCTCTCCACATAGGTGGCTCATGTTCAAGAGAACACGGTCCAAACTCTGGTAACCAAGCACGTTTGCAAAGGTGAAGGCCGGGGCCCAGCAGGAGCACTATGTTTCAGGGATGGTTGGAGTGCAGCTGCACATGAAGTGCATCAAGCGTGGTTGTGCTCTCTGTGCACAGGGAGCCCCTGGGGCAGGGATGCCAGCCAGAGTCAGGGACACCCCAGTAGAGGCGGTGGGGGCACTGCTCTGGAGATCGTGCATGTGCTTTGTGTCTGGCTGTTGCTTTCTGTGAGGGCCCGTCTTCTCTTTTCCCCGTGGTCAATGGTTGTCCTGGGAGTACCCAGTGAGGCTGCTGTGGCTCTAAGTCTGACCTGTGAGCCTCCCTGTGGCCATTTTGAGCACCTGGGGCATATTGGAGCTCTGCTCAGGCTGTGCTGATGGCTGTGCCCAGGGTAGATGGGAATCTGGCTGTTGAGATTCCTGTGGGGCGGGGCTGCCATGCAGGGACAGTGTCCTGTGCTCCTGCTCCCAGGTGGGGCTGTGGGGCTGAAACCACTGCTTCCTTGCAGGACCCTGGCCTTGGAGCTGATAGGTCACTGCTTTCAGCTCCTGCATGGCCACGGGGAGCCCCTGGGCCTCTTGGTCACTCATGCCTGGGTGGAGAGTGGGACCCTGGGCCGGGCAGGAAAGGCTCACATGGGTGTAGAAAATTGCGGTTCCCACGACCCTGTCTGGGACCAATGCCCATCCCAGCTCAGAGCTCCACAGCCCAGTCCTCCTCCCCTCTCCAGCCTGTTTCTGGCTTTAAGTCAAGAGTGCCTCTTATGAGGCAGCTCAGTCCCTGGGCTGGGGGTCTTTGAACCTCGTATAACCCCTGGTCCCTGAAGCTAGCCATCACACTGATTCTGTTAGCAGAAGTATAAACACCTGTCATTCCAAGGCTGTGGCCCCAGGTGCTGTACTGGACCCTGCACTCTCGTTAAACTGCCTGCCTGAGGCTTCAGGGTAGGAGTTCCTCTCCATCTTCCAGATGAGGAAGCTGAGGCATAGGCTGGGGGAGCCACGGGCAGATCGCTGGGACCCGCTACAGTCCAGCCCAGTCCCGGCTGCCTTCTCCCCTCCTTGCCTCCTGGGGTGAGGTGCCAGCCTCAGCTATGAGGCTGGTTCCAGAGACACCACCCACCCTTCCTGCTCAGTGCCTGAGGTCTCCACACCCCTCACCAGGCTGGGCCCTCTTTCTGCTCCTAGCAGGACCCTGAGTGGCAGGAAAGCTGAGGGGCGCTCTGTACCCACTGAGTAGTGGTGAGACCCTGTACCAGCAGCTGTGGGCCCTGCCCTCCAGCCTCCCGTCCCCTGCAGGCCCCGCACTTGGGACATGCCCAGCTTTGATGACACCCTCCAGGTGCTGGACTCAGTGGGCAGCACTGGGGATGCCCTGGAGGCTTGGGTGGGATGGGCCTCTCTGCTTCCTGTTATTCAACAGTAATGCTTTCCCAATTTCCATCGGGGAGCCTCTGCAAACTACCCCTGCCTGGGGGCAGAGACCTCTGGAAGCTGCTCATGCTGCCTGTCAGGTGTGCGCTAGCTGAGCGTCGTCTATTGGCACAAAATAAGAAGCTATCGGCTGGGTGTGGTGGCTCATGCCTGTAATCCCAACACTTTGGGAGGCCAAGGCGGGTGGGTCATGAGGTCAAGAGATTGACACCATCCTGGCCAACATGGTGAAACTTCATCTCTACTAAAAACAATTAGCTTGGTATGGTGGCATGCGCCCGTAGTCCCAGCTACTAGGGAGGCCAAGGCAGAATTACTTGAACCCTGGGAATGAATGCAGTATAGGGTGGACAGGCTGTGGGGCAGATGCCCAGGCCCTGGGGGATACTCTGAGGGTGGTGGCAGGTCCTCTTGTAGTGGAGGGAACATGACTCTTCTATGTGAATGCAGCAGAGGTTGCAGTGCTGCAGAGGTTGCAGTGAGCCAAAATTGTGCCACTGCACTCCAGCCTGGCGACAGAGTGAAACTCGGTCTCAAAAAACCTATATATACAATAATAATGTTACCTGACATTATTGTTATTATTATTAATAATAAGTTACTTAGCCCTCCGGCACAAGAGGTTGAGATGCAAGCTCTGTGTGGGGCTGCAGGCACTGGCGATTTGGCTTGGTCCTGGTGTTGAGCTGTGTTAGGGAAATGTGGGTGGTCGAGGTACAGGCTTCCTGCGCTTCCATCCTGGAAGCAGGGTTGGGAACATGGATGGAAGGAGTGCCTGTACGGAGAGGGATCAGGAGCCCTCCCAGCTGGGAGGATGGCAGCCCCAGCCCCCACCTCTCGCTCTCCCTGCTGCCACCACTTGGTGTTTTTTTGTTGTTGTTTCCTGTCTCCTTTTAACTTCCTTTCTTTCTGTCCTCCACACATCTGACAGTTTGTCTCCGTCTTTTCTCTCCCTTGGCCTCTGTTCACCCCTTTGTCCCCCCCACCCCCCGACATGCTCCTATGTCCTCTGACTCTGGACCCTGAAAGCCTTCCCTGAAAGCTTGCTCAGCACTGCGGTGCCCCTAGGGCAGGCACCTCAGGGCAGCTGAGTGTCTGCTACCTGATGGCCAGGTGGGCTTGGGGTAGTTGAAGGCAGGAGGACCCGGCATTGCTCCGGGACTTCCCTTCCACCCACCTGTTAGCTAAACCGGACATCAGTTCGTTCTCATCTGGACCATGTTTTTATTCCAGCAGTGACCTTTTGGGAAAACAGAGTGTTGGGTTGGAAGAACCCCAATCCCCTGTCGGTGAGGTTTTGCCGTCCTGCATGGTTATTTGTTCCATTTAATAAAGCTGCTGCGGGAGCTGGTAGTGTGTCAGGAGTGCTCTGTGGACAGAGCTATAAATGCACAGCACACGCCACCTTGATTCAACACGTCGGCCTGATTTGTGTTTCTGATTTATTTAATTAAAACCAATGACTGTGCAGCTGGTTGTGTGGAGGTATGTGGAGAATCCCCATTTAAATTGCAGTGACTTTGCAATAGTTTCTAATGATTTAGGAAGAAATGGCCGTATTGGTGTTTCCATCTACCCTTCCTCCCTGTGGCCTCTGAGAGGCTCAGGTGGCACTGTGGGTTCTGTCACTTGGCTTCCTGGTGGTTTGACTCCAGGAGGGCCGGAGTGAGCCTGGTCTTCAGGGCCTCGGGTTGTTCACCAGGCCCAGTACTTGTGAGTGTATTGATTAACTGTTTCCCTCTGTTGAAGAACTGTAGATGACTGTACTGTACAAAGCAGGGATAAAGCAAAAACAAAAATCTTGAAACGGTTAGAAATTATGCAGTGTATTTAAGAAAAGTTGACTGAGGGGTATATGGAAAATCATCCTAGAGTCTGGGCTCTGGGAGCTGCTGTGTGGATGCAGGTCCTTAGTGGGAATTGCAAGGTGCTAGCTCCTTTTCCAAGATGGGGCATCTGCACAGGACAGAGGCACACTGAGCTGGGTTCCCTGTCATGTGTCAGTGCCAACCCAGATGGCACACGCTTTGAGTGTTGCTGCCCAGCACAGGAGCCGACCTTGCTATGTGTGAGGAATAAGCCCAGGGCAGACTCTGTCCCCTCCACCACGGGAGGACCTGCCGATACCCTCAGAGCATCCCCCAGGGCCTGGGCATCCGCCCCACAGCCTGTCTGCAGTGGGGGCTGCAGCAGAGCTACTGACCCTATGCTGCCGCCTGCTGTGTGCTCTGTGGCCAGGGCTGAGCTTAGTCATCCTCAGGACTCCACGCACAGAGAGAGCCTCTGTGTACAGCCTCACCTGGGGGCAGGTACTCGGGCAGTGGCCTGGGAAGCCCTGTGGGGACCCTGTGGTGTGCTGCCTTTCCCAGGGGCAGGGCTGTGGCCTGGGGAGTCCTGTGGGGACCCTGTGGTGTGCTGCCTTACCTAGGGGCAGGGCTGTGGCCTGGGGAGCCCTGTGGGGACCCTGTGGTGTGCTGCCCCCTACTTCTTCACATTGTGTCACAAGCCACCAGGAGAGCTGGCCAGGAAGGTGGAGGCCTGAGCTTCCATCCCATTCTCTTCCATGTGACTGTGACCACAGGTGGGCTGTCTTCCCCCAGCTCCAGCCTCCTCACCGTGTGCAGGATCTGTGCCTGGTGTCCTCAGGTCCTCCCCGGCCCAGCTGTCCTGCGGCCACTGGGGTTTGTGGCCACCTGTCCCAGCCGTTTTCTACTGTATCCTGGCTGGCAGGAGTGCTGGATCACAGACAGCAACTTCTCACCTCAGGATAAAAAATAACCCAGCCGAGGGCTTTGTGTAGCACCTTGGTGGTGCTGAGGGCACCAGGGCCTGGGGCTGGTGTCTGAGCACACGTAGCCACCCGGCACACGTGGCCTCACCTAGGAAGAGCTGTTTGTGAGCCTATGGCTGTTCAAGTGGAGGCAGCTCTGTGATCACTGGGTACCAGGGGTGCGGAGTCAGGGCATGGCTGCATGGAGGGCCTCCTTGTGCTGGGTTTTCCAGGACATGTAATGAGACCTTCTCCCCACAGCTGCCATACCACTCAGTGCTCCCTGGTATGGGCTCCTGAAGCCTGGCTCCGAGTGGGCTTGGCCTCTCCTA